AATCCTCAATGCAGGCAGGTAATTTGGCCATTAAAAATAAGATCAGCGCCATTGGAGGAATGGGTTCTGCATACAGCGAACCTGGAATGTAAAAGTCAGGATACAGGAGCTTGGGTAGGTGAAGCTATTTCTACAGGTTTGAGGAGGCACCAGGATGCCAAATACCCTACCTGTGATGATATAGAGGCATGGGTAGGGAAGGCAATCTCAAAGAATTTAAATAGGCGTAAAGATGCAAAATGCTTTAACTGTGGTAGAATAGGACATCTTAGTAGGAACTGTAGACAACGCATTCCTAGAAATAATGCTTTTACCAGGAATGTATCAAACAGAAGGCCTAAACCTCCTGGTCTATGCAGGAGGTGTGGGAAGAGGCGCCATTGGACTGATGAATGCTTTTCCACAATAGACAGACAAGGTAGATCTTTACAGCAGGGAAACGGGCTTCCGGGGCTCCATGGAGCCCCGAAGAGGAAGATTATCCGGTCATTCCCAGTGACAGTGGAGGACAGCCTCTCCCAGGACAATTAGAAGATCCACTGCCCATTGTAAATAATACGGCACTGGATAATACATTAGCTCCAGAGGATGAATCAATTACATCAGGAGGAGATACAAAACATATATTTTGGCAAACTTCTATACAATATCATAGACCCAAACTTCCGGTTAAGGTAAATAATAGGGTGATTTACGGATTACTGGACACCGGAAGTGACGTCACTATCCTTAATCAGCAGTCCTGGCCACAAAACTGGGCTTTAAAAGAGGTTAATGTTCAATTCTTAGGGATCGGAACCCTATCTGAAGTTAAACAAAGCGTTAGATGGATTGACTTTATTGGGCCAGAAGGACAGAGAGGAAGGTTAAAGCCATACGTTGCAGATATTGCTATAAACCTCTGGGGTCGTGATCTACTCCAGCAATGGAATACGCAGATTAAAATTCCTCCTGTATCAGCTAGGAATTATAGACAAGCTCTTAGTGGTAGTAAGAATATAGTAAGACAGTACAGAAAACAGATGCCAAACGTACAGGCTGTGCAGAAGCAAGATGCTAGTGCCAAACCTACAGAGCAACCAAAAGCTCTACCATTAAAATGGCTGACAGATGAACCCGTCTGGGTGGGTCAATGGCCTATGACATCTGAGAAGTTAGAGGCTTTGGAGAAGTTAGTTCAGGAACAGCTAGATGCTGGACACATTGAGGAATCAACTAGTGCGTGGAATTCGCCTGTTTTTGTTGTCAAGAAGAAGTCTGGTAAGTGGAGAATGGTTACTGATCTTAGAGCCATCAACAAGGTAATTCAGCCTATGGGGTCTCTACAACCTGGGATGCCGTTACCTTCTCTAATTCCTAAGGATTGGCCAATTATAGTTATAGACTTAAAAGATTGTTTCTTCACCATACCGTTACAAGAAAACGACAGAGAAAAGTTTGCCTTCACAGTACCTACCTATAATAATTCCCGTCCGGTACAGAGATTCCAGTGGAAGGTACTACCTCAAGGTATGTTAAACAGTCCAACTTTGTGTCAATATTTTGTGAATAAACCTCTAGAAATAATTCGTAAAAAATTTCCACATTCGTTAATATATCATTATATGGATGACATATTATTGTCTGATTCAAATAAGGATACTTTGGAAAAGATGTTTGAGGCAGTAAAGGAAATTTTGCCTCGCTGGGGATTACAAATTGCTCCAGAAAAAATACAAAGAGGAGATTCTATTAACTATTTAGGTTATAAAATAGATGCTCAGAAAATTAGACCACAGAAAGTACAGATCAGAAGAGATCGTTACCGGACTCTTAATGATCTTCAAAAACTATTAGGAGAAATCTCTCAATTACAGACGATTATTGGTGTAGAAGGGCATGATTTAAAACACCTGAAAATGGCTTTAAAAGGAGATAAAGACCTAAACAGCCCACGAGTACTATCAGCTGAGGCTGAAAAAGAATTAGAATGGGTAGAAAAGAGAATATTAGAAGCACATGTGGACCGTGTGGATCCAAATCTGGACTGTATTCTGGTTATTTTACCATCTAGAGAATACCCCTCAGGAATATTAATGCAGAGGGACGACATCATTCTAGAATGGGTATTTCTGCCACATAAACAAAATAAAAAATTGAAAACATATATAGAAAAGATATCTGATTTGATATTAAAAGGTAAATTAAGGCTTCGTCAACTGACTGGGAAAGACCCAGCTGAAATTATTGTACCGTTAACGAATGAGGAAATTTCCTCCTTATGGAAGGATAATGAGTATTGGCAAATAGCTTGCAGTGACTTTTTGGGAAGTATTAGTAATAACTATCCCAAAACAGAGAGAATCAAATTCATAAAGAAAACAATTTGGATTCTTCCACGTATCGTGAGGCAAACACCTATTTCTGGAGTTCTTACCTTCTACACGGATGCAAACAAATCAGGTAAGGCAGGGTATAAATCAGGAAATATAAGTAAAGTAGTTCAAAGCCCTTACAACTCCGTACAAAAGGCAGAGTTATATGCCATTCTCATGGTACTTAAAGACTTTACAGAGCCTCTCAATATAGTCACGGATTCTCAGTATGCAGAAAGAGTTGTCCTGCACATTGAGACTGCAGAATTTGTTCCTGATAATACAGAATTAACCTCATTGTTTTTACAATTGCAGGAAATCATCAGAAACAGGACTCATCCTATATATATAACACACATCAGATCCCATACAGGTCTGCCAGGTCCTCTGGCACAAGGCAATGATGAAATTGATCGTTTATTAGTAGGTAATGTGTTGGAAGCTTCAGAATTTCATAAGAAACACCATGTTAACAGCAAAGGTTTAAAGAAGGATTTTTCTATCACCTGGCAACAAGCCAAAGAAATAGTAAGAAATTGTCCCAGTTGCTCATTGTACAATCAAACTCCATTACCAGCAGGTTGTAATCCTAAAGGTGTTCACAGAAATGAACTTTTGCAAATGGATGTATTTCACTTCCCAGAATTTGGCAGTTTGAAATATGTACACCATACTATAGACACGTTCTCAGGCTTCCAATGGGCTACTGCCCTCAGCTCTGAAAAAGCTGACTCTGTTATTACACACCTCTTAGAGGTAATGGCTGTTATGGGTATACCTAAAACAATAAAAACTGACAATGGTCCAGCATATGTCTCCAGTAAATTGGAACAATTCTTCAAATATTATAATATAAAACATGTAACTGGTATACCTTACAATCCCACAGGACAAGCAATAATTGAAAGGTCTAACCGAACCTTAAAGGAGATGCTTCATAAACAGCCAGGGAAAACAAAGACACCTAGACACAGGTTACACAATGCTTTACTAACGTTGAATTTTCTTAATGCTGATGAAAAAGGACAAACTGCAGCAGAAAGACACTGGACTACAGAGAAGACTTCTGAACTGAACCAACCGGTGTATTTTAAGGATGTTATGACCTCAGTCTGGAAACCAGGATATGTGTTACGTTGGGGAAGGGGTTATGCTTTTGTTTCCACAGGAGAAGAAAAGGTTTGGGTTCCATCAAAATTAATTAAAATTCGATCAGAACAGAAAACATCTCAGGAGGAGGAAGATAACAGCCCATCTACAAATTCATAGTCCACAATGGGTAAAGTGACCTCCTAAAAGGAAAGAGAAGTGCTTTGTTTTTGTCCTCACAGGTAAACTCAGCAAAGAATACTGGACACATGGATTCCTGTAGAAGAATGAATAGCTACCCTGAGGACCATCAAACACACACTGTGTGGTATCAAAGTCTAAATCTCTCTATATTGCTTTTTCATAGTACACCTTTATCTTTATTTCTTCACATACCTCAGTTCCCATTCATTTAACTGAAACTGGCTTTGGAGTTGGATTGGCTCTCCTACTCTAAACCCAAGCATGTTATTTAAATACAATTCAGAATTTCTGTATTATATCAAAGAGCCATTGATATAAGACAGAAGAAATAAAATGAGGGACTGTTATCTATGGATTTCTTTTTCTGAACAGTCTAATTTCCTCCAGGTTTTCCATCTTCCCTATTGTCACCTCTTCTGTATGCTTACATATGAAAGTTAAAATATTTCTTTGTTAACAGTAATGTTCGAGTTTTCCAGAGAACAAGGGATTTCCTGACAGCAATCTTCAACTGCTTCCGAAAGAGAATGAGGATCCACTTCCTTGACTTCACCTGATTCGACTGGAGGCATCTGAATTGCCCCACATCATTGACTCCACCTGACAAGCACTATCCTGAAACTGGCTTGAAACTACATCACTCGACACAACTCCAGACCAAGGAACAGAAATAGCACATCTTCTACAATCTGACCAGAGCTTCAAGATAAGAGCTTCAATCAACACTAGAACCTCAGTCAGGAACTTCAATCAAGCAGCTCCTGCCATACTGAGACTGTCTGATCTACTCAGATTTTGTTATACTAACATTTTCTTTTCACAGGTCCCCATGAGATTATCATCGTCCCATCTCAGCAGGAAGTAGTTTTGAGAATTCCACGCCCCCTCTCCCTACTATTGATATTATAAGTTTACACCTGTTAGTGTTAGTTTTCCATTATTTTAGAGTTGGGATTGGAAGGAGGTGTTCATATTTGGGTGTTTCTTTAAGATAAGTTTAGGTTTAGATAGAATAGATGTTTGATACATTTTGTTCATGGACACAAGTTAGTTGTCCTTTTTTAGACTAAAAGGGGAATTGTAGGAGGAAGTCTGATGCTGCCATTAAACATGTGACTTACTAGAGGCGCATACAGATGAGGTAATAAAAGGGCGGTTTACCACACCGCTAACCACACCCACTTTAGGCAGGACTAAAGACGTATACGGCTGGACGTAAAGACGTATACATACGTAGGCGGAACTACGTCACTAGCCAAGCCCACTTTTGGGCATGGCTAGGGGCGTTACGGGGGAAGGCATAAAAGACAGCGCACAGGAAGTCTCGCTCTCTTTTCCTGGAGTTCGGCTTCCGGTCCAGTCGCTAGCTGAGATCTGCTGGGCTTCTCGGGGTTTGGTATCTTGTGAGTAATTTTCTATATAAAATACTTAGCCTTATTTTCAGTAATTGTGTGTCGTGTATCGTTACAGCGCCCGTAAAGCCAACAGGAAAGTTATCAGTCCAGCAATGCTGAACTCTAGGTGGGCAAATTTCATGTCCATGTATTTTTTCAGCAAGGTCTCAAATTTTGATACAGGTACACAAAAATGTATTTTATTTCTATTTACCAGCAGTAATAAGTGGGTGCTGAAACTTAAGGGTAGAAAATCATTTACAATTGTAAAAAAGAAAGGAAGGAAGGAAGAAAGACAGGCAGACAGATAGACTCAGGTGTAACACTAACAAAACATGACCAGTGTGGAAAAGTACACAATGATGAAAGATAATCAAAGAGAACCTAAGTAAATGGTGCTGGCAATGGGATAGATGCACACACTGGTGGAGCAGAATGGGGAGTCTAGAAACAGACCCACACAATTATGCCATATATGTAATATTTTAGGGTCCCTCCCCCTTACACAGCGACTCCCTATGTAACCCAGGCTAAGCCTGGATTCCTATGTTCACTATGCAGTTTATGCTGTCTGTAAGCTCTCCATTCTCCTGCCTTAGAACCCCCTAGTGCTAGGATTACAGGCATGTGTCACCATGCTCATCACAGGTGTGTGTGTGTGTGTGTGTGTGTGTGTGTGTGTGTACAAACAGATTCAACAGAAGAAAGAGCCTGTCCACCCATTATGCTAAAGTAAATAGGCATCCTTAGGCAGGAAGAGGCAACTCTGCCTTGATTTCATTCCTTGCTATGGATGAATCTGGGCTGTGCCCCACCACCTCAGGTTCCGAGCAGTTGGTTCCAGCTATTTCAAAGGGCTGTGAAGCCTGTAGGAAATACAATGAGGCTGGCAGAAGTGGAGCACTAAAGACAGCCTTAAAGCTATTCCCACCCCTGGCTGCCGCCTACCCTCTGTTTCCATCACCATGTGAACAGCTGCGGCTTCATGATCCTGCCACAGCAGAGGGATCCATGCTGACTTCCTCATCTATCTTGGACTGGTACTCCTTGAGAGCCCAAACACTTACTCCTTTATATCATCTCCCTCAGATATTCTGGTGATGGCATCACAAAAACACTCATATAGACAATACAAGCTCACAGTGACTCAGGGGTACAAATGAAAAATGAAGAACTGCAAAAGAAATAAATATATTTCATAGATGATAGGATTTGGGTTTATTTTTAGTTTCTTACTCTTGGTTATTATCGAGCAAAACAAGAAAACGATAAATTGGCTTCAGTGAGAAGGTTTTATTTTCCTTTGCCCCAGTGTCGCAGAGGAAACTTGAATAACTGTCCAGGTAGCCAGCTGTTTCTGTTGTTTCTTTTAATTTTGGAAGTAACTTGCTCTGTGCTTCCTGTCTACTAAGGTAATATATCCTTTTGGGGTCTTTGATGGAGTCAAAGACTACATAGTCATAGTTATAGTTTTCTTAGTTATGATAGAAGGTAAATTATGTACAGAGCTTTTAACTTATCATCAAGACAGAATAAATAATGGAGTATTTTCTCCAAATATGACAAATACAAATGGACTGGACATTGTAAAGCATTTGAAGTTTTTGTTCTCATACAGAGTAGCTTCCTTATATCTTATACTGGGGAAGCTGCATTAGCAGAGTGATGCCATGCTATGCTACCATGAAAATACATACTGCCTTAAGTCTGGAAAGCAAGGACCTAGTACACTAAGCTACCCTGCCCCAGTCTCCAACGGCCCAATGTCCTAGCTTTAGCTCTACCTAGGCCAATGTCAGTTAGACCTAAATGGCTCTCAGAGTAAAAGTAACATTACAATGTCATTTACATGCCAAATGTCCTCCCCATCCTAGGGCACTGAGGTTAACAGCTGCCGTGAAGATGACTGGGAAGAGCTACAAAGAGAGCAAAGAGCAGAACAAACTGGCCACTGTCAGGACACCTGGGATTCTTTGTCCTTTCACAGAAGAGACGTGAGTATTCTTTTCCCTCATAGCCTGTCCCTTGCCTCAGAGGGTCTGTTACCTGACGTCTGAAACGGCCCAACCCCAAACAGATAGAGGAAGTTACTCTGCAAGCTCTTCTCTTTCTGCTCCTATTTGGGGCCAAGAATAAAGGTTTTCCATGCTGTTCAGTCTTGTTACAACTTTAAAAGAAAACGGACCCAGTTTGGGATCAGAAATTGCAAACAGCTACTCGGGTGTGGTGGAATCTCTTGCTATTCAGAAAGGCCAGAGTTAAGATATCCCCACCTGTCCTTGGAGGGATTAACTCTATTTCCACAGGTGTGCTTATAAAACACAGACAATAATACATAACTCAGTCGGCTGTGAACTCACCTGCATGAAGACTTGCTCACTAATACAACTTCCTGTAATGGAGCAATGTCCCGCTCTGTAGCCAACAGCTTCTGCTGCACAAATTGACTCCTACCAGAGTCTTACCCAGGAGTTTATCATTGACAGGAACTTAGCTTTCACTTTGCTAAACGCCTTACAAAATGATCTTGCAATCGTTGCAAATAATCTCCCAAAGCAGGCTTCTACCTGTACACTGCTCTCCTTTCAATGGAGGAGTTTGAGGCACAGAGTGGCTGGGTTACTTAAGGCATCAGCCAATTGATCTCTGGTCTTGAATCTGTTCATTTAATTGTTTTTCTTCAGCCTCTTGCAGGTTTGGGCTTTCACACAACTTCATAGAATTTTCCTTCCCAAACTCTGTCCAAGGACCAGCTGGCTTCTCTTACTAGGCTAAGATTAAGTCAGGAGCGGTAACTTCCGGGCAGCCTTGCTTTACAGCTGTCAGGAACCTGCCTGCCCTCCTCCTCTGCTTCACCGTCTCTCCTAGGAATGGGAAATCTCTTCAGGGGTAAGTCTGTGACTCAGGGGCCTCCGCACTGCTCATTGTTTGAAATATTTCATATGCCATGTCCCACACAGAGATTATTGCAGCTATCTTCCTACAGTGGCTTTATTGGCATCTCTATGAAAAAACTATGTTCTTCCATTGGCATTAACTTCTGTTGACAAAGAGAAAGGGACAAAAAACCAATCAGTAATCATCTTTCCCTGAGGATTGGGTGCTGGCCAGCCGCTCAGGGTTGCCACTCACTGGATATGAAGAAGACACTCAACAGCAGGACACCCCCCGCCACTTGAAGAGTGCCCAGGACCTTCCTAGGAAACAAGAGAAAGGTGTCACACCTGGTGTCCCATGAGAACCTGGATTTGAGGCCCAGCTCTTACATCTCAGGCTTACGTATTTGAGTAAGGTCATAATCGCTCTTCGTAGATCTGCTTTGTTCATTTTGTAATGTGGAATTGACAACTACAGTCCTTCCAGGATCTTTGAAGGAAGCAGATGAGGCAAGACAGGACAGGTGCCTCCCACAGTACCTCACATGCAAGGAGAACTCAGCGATATTGCCATTGTATTCCTTGGGATTTGTAGTAAGTCAGGTAGAATGTGGAATGGTGATGGTGGTATTTTAATTATTATCTTCAAAATTGTCAGAGAAACTTCAAAAAGTACTCTGGGAAAGCTAACCTCCCATAAAAAAATATGCCTCAGATTCTCTGGATTTGTACAGTTGAAAATCAAACCAGCCAGGCATGGTGGCACACGCTATTAATCTGCTCTCCTGAGGCACAGACAGGTGAATCTTTGTAAGTTTGAGAGGCCATCCTGGTCCACATAGTAAGTTCTAGGCTAGCCAAGGCAATATAGTGACAGCCTGTCAAAAAAAAAATAAGAAAAGAAAAATAATAGGAAAAATTAACAAATTAAGTTAGCATATAACTGTAGAAATATTTTCTTTCTTTCAATTTGACTTTTTGTTTTGTTTTGTTTTGTTTTTCGAGACAGGGTTTCTCTGTATTGTTTTAAAAGCTGTCCTGGGACTCGCTCTGTAGACCAGACAGGCCTGGAACTCACAGAGATCCGCCCCAGTGCTGGGATTAAACGCATGCACCACCACCGCCTGGCTCAATTTGATGGTTTTTAGCTCTTTTATTTTTGCAGCTCTTGGAATTAAACCCAGCTATGTAAGTAGTCTATTGCTAAAACATACCTCTACTTCTTAATTATTCTGTTGCTGTTTTGGGTTTGTGGGGGTTTTATTTCTGTTTTCTTTTTAAATGAAAAAATATTTCTTCACTTTTCTACCTTTGCAATTTGGTCAACATCGTAACATCCACTTTTTTTTAAAAGATTTATTTATTTATTATGAATACAACATCCTGCCTCCATGTATGTCTGCACGCCAGAAGAGGCACCAGATCTTATTACAGATGGTTGTGAGCCACCATGTGGTTACTGGGAATTGAACTCAGAACCCCTGGAAGAGCAGTCAGTGCTCTTAACCTCTGAGCCATCTCTCCAGCCCCCATTATCCACTTTTTAAAATATTTTCAGTTTCCTTAGCTATAAAATAAGGCCCTAGGTCGCCCATGATAACGCACACAGTAATAGTTTATAAAATTGGAAACTGCCCTCAAAATACTAAATTTCAATGGCCCTAGTATAGGTCAGATCTGTGCTCTGTGCTTAGGATAGTCATAAAAGGAAGAATATTCCAGTCTAAAAGGAATAACAACCGAAGTTCTCCTTCTGTGTTTACATTTTATTTTCTGAAAGAGGACAAGCTGCAGGAAAGTGTGCAGATGTGAAGAGAAGTATTGGAAATCTGATATGTCGGACACTTGATGACATTGTCCCTGCTTCACAGAGAGACGGTGATGGTGAAGGACACAGAACAGTTCCCCATGACTATCCCAAGTTCCATCCCACGGGTCTGGGGTCCCTTAGATCCTAGACACTGAACTATTACTGAGTCAACAGTGATGACACATTGGCTTATATCTTACTGCCCCCCTGCTCTAGAATGTCCTAAGTACCTTTGCATAAAGTCTGGCCCACCTTCCAGCATCTTCCTTATGGGTAAATGACATGGTTCCCATGCCTTCTCTAGCTGGTCTCAGCCTCTCCTTGTGTTGTCTCCAGGTCCTATGAGTATCTCTCCTACATCAAACACTCACTGATGCCATTGTTTCTTCTGTCAATGTTTCCTTTATTTTAATCCGACCTGTCCCTGTTCTTTTAGTCTATCTACCCCATAGCTATTGTCTCAGTGTCCTACTGTGTTTGTTCTTTAAATCGTCATTGTCATGAGTCTCAGGATCCCAGGATACACACACACACACACACACACACACACACACACACACACACACACACACACCCTCAGGTGGCTTTGGCTCTTCAGCTGTGATTACCTCCGCACCAAATGGAGCTCTTAAATTCCCTGTACCTGAGTATCTGTCCCCAGCTGGGTTGCTCCTGCTGGAGAACCAGATTTGTTCAGCCTTTTTGTTTTTAAATTTTTTGTGAATTGTGTTCTGTTTGTTCTGTGACTCTGCAGAAATGTTTGAAGACAGTTTACAATAAAAATCTCCCTCTCTGTATCTCTCACACACATACAAACACACACACACACAGAGAGAGAGAGAGAGAGAGAGAGAGAGAGAGAGAGAGAGAGAGAGAGAGAGAGAGAGACATCTGAGTAATGGAGAAAGACAAAGAAAATAAGTATACAATAAGTATGCGTACTGTTTTTCTCAAGTGTCTCTCAAACCCACTTTCTAAAGACTCACAGACTGTCAAGGTTCATTGTCCACATTAGACCCTGAGTTAACAGTGCCATAACAGTGACAGGTTATGGCATAGACCCTCCATTAAAAAAAAAAGAGTTAAACATGTGCTGTATTTTTTAAATGTGAGTTATAAAAGGCATTGTCTTGGTTTAATCTCCTGCATTCACCAAAAGATCAGGCCCAAGATCAAAAGGTACTTACAGTAAAGTTATGTTGTCACCAAGCCACATTAACTAAGTTAATGTACCAACCTACTGAGAAATCAGAAGAGATAAAGAGCTAATTCCTCAGACCATTCTTTGCTTTCACATTTAGAAAGGACAACCTGAAGTAGCCCCATGTTGACCCCATCCACTATTTCTGTATTGTCTATCACCCGCCTGACAAGAAAGTAACTCTGAAATGACCAAACCGCTTGTTCTTTGATGCTTTTTCAGCCTTTCTTTGATCATAAAACAACCTCTCCTTTTACTCAATCCATCAGAACCGTTTTGTTTTGTTTTTAATGGAGTGGAAATTTGCTCTATCCTAAAGTTAAAAAACAAAGTGAGTTAAGATCTTTGAACTAAGCCGGGCTGTGGTGGTGCCCACCTTTAAACCCAGCACTCGAGAGGCAGAGGCAGGTGGATCTCTGTGAGTTCAAGACCAGCCTGATTTACAAGAGCTAGTGGACAGTCTCCAAAGTCACAGAGAAACCCTGTCTCGAAAACACCCCCCCAAAAAAATCTTTGAACTAGAATAGTTCTAGTCATATTCTTCTACACTGCTTGCATCGTACACTACTCCCATAACCAAAGTTCCCTTCACCCATCTGACCTTACTTGTTAAATAATGAAATGGAAATTTAAGGGGAGCATTCAACTTGTATTCTTTCCCTACCAATATATAGTAAATTTGAAAAGAAAGAAAGCAGGACTTATATAAGTCACATTGGGCTAATAGAATCTAAAACTACAGTTCAAACAATCTTAGAAGACGTTTAGGGAGGTTGTAATGACTTAGTTGTCAGCTTGATGACATGTAGAATCAACTACAACCTCAGGTGTCAGTGTGCCTGGGAAGGTGTTACCTAATCAGATTATTTGAGATGGGGAGACCCAGCCTAAACCTGGGCTATGCCTTCTGATGGCAATCCACATAAACCACATGGAAGAGTGAAGTATGTGCTTTTTGCCTGCTTGCCCTCACTGCCACGGGCAAGTCTGTCTATCCTGTTGCTTAGTCACTCTTTTGCCCATATTAGGACTAACTTCCTTGGGATTCAAAATAGACTGAAGACCAGCAGCTCTCCAGGAACCTTCTGGGACTCCAGCACCAGAGTGGTTCTGTTGAGACATCCAGCCTTGGAGACTAAACAACTGTCAACCTTTATTTGTGAAACGCCCTTTGTTGGACTACCTGGACCACAGCCTGTAAATCCACCTAATAAATCCCATATAGATACATATTTACCTAATGAGTCCCATATATAGTCAGTTCTGTTTCTTTAGAGAACCCTGACTAACACAAGTATATTTGTTTAACTTAAAAAAGTATATGGAAATTTTCATTATGAAGAGATTTAGATTAATAATCAGGATATTATTCATCCTCATTGGTGATCAATGATAGAAAATGTGACATCATTTTGAGGATGATGTAACATTAAAATGGAGTGTTGCTATATGTCCACTCAAGTGTCAAAAGTAAAGATATTTAAAGCATTGAATACTGGAGAGGAGATCGAATAAACTGCACCCTGACCAGTGTGCAAATCAGTATAAATACTGATTTTGTGTGAGTATGGCACATGTGCACATTTGTATGCAAGGACATACACATCTGTGTATTTGTGGATGCCCGAAGATGTTGGCTATCCGGTTTTATTACTCTCCAACTTATTCTCTTAAGACAGAGCTGGGCGTTGGTGGTGCACGCCTTTAATCCCAGCACTTGGGAGGCAGAGGCAGGCGGGTCTCTGTGAGTTCCAGGCCAGCCTGGTCTACAGAGCTAGTTCCAGGACAGCCTCCAAAACAATACAGAGAAACCCTGTCTCGAAAAACCAAAAAAAACAAAACAAAACAAAACAAAAAAAAAAACACAGAGACTCTCACTCTCTCATTGACCCTGCAGTTAGGCTGACAACCAGCAATCCTCTGTTATCCTGTCACCACTTCTGTTTACACTGTGGCATTGGGGTTATAGGCAAGCAAGACCTCACCCAGCTTCCCCGCCCCTACCCCTATTTTTGTGGTTTTATTTCTACACAAATAAAACATACACATGAGCCATCTACTCATTTTCTTCACTGTGCAGCCTGGCTTTGGGATTAGTGACACTGATGACCAGCTGCACTGTTCTTTCTAGGATGGCTTTGTGGTTCTTGTGAGTGATCACAGCGCAGTAAGTTTGGCTGCACATCAGCAGCACTTCCGGCTCCATGACACGGTGGACTATAAGCTTCCGGAAGCCACTGGGCAGCACGTACTTGGTTTTTTTTTTTGCTGCTCCCATAACCGATGTTGGGCATCAGGATCTGGCTCCTGAATCTTGTCCTCACCCTGTTGTCTGTACTCTGGGTGTCAGCCAGTTTTGACTAATTCGGAAATGTCAGTTTGACTGCTGCCGGATGAGCTCCTCGGTCCTCCTTTTGAGAATCTCAGGCTTTGCTAGAGGCAGGAGGGCAAGCACACCTGATGCCTCAAAAGAGATGGCGGTTACCTTGAGAGCCAAGTAAGAATGAAGGGACGGTAGTGTGCAAAGGACGATGGGACCCACAGACAACTTTTTTTGGGGGGGGGGGTTCGAGACATGGTGTAGGGAAAAGGGACCAGTCAAAGAAACATACCCTAAAACCACTGCCAAACGAACACATTGTATCTCTGGAATCAGAGTCAGTGAAAGAAAGGCACCCTGGCCCTAAAATTGGAGCCAAAAGGCTAAAAAGGACCAGAGAAAAAACACACTTTGGCCCTGAAACCAGAGCCAAATCTGACCCTAATCCTGTGTAAAAAAGTAACCAATCCAGGAGCAGAGCTCTAGCCAATCTGAGCTCAGCACTGAAATCGGACCAATCCCTACTCTGGAAAAACTTTCCCACCCCCAAGAATCCCTTGGCTCCCGAGTGCCAGAATACCTGACCCACTCCTGTTCCATCCTGTCCAGACCCATCCTGAAACGCTTACACATGGTTTCTCTGTATTGTCCTAAAACTCACTCTGTAGACCAAGCTGGCCTTAAACTCACAGAGATCCACCAGCCTCTGCCTCCTGAGTGCTGGGATTAAAGGCGTGCACCACCAATGCTTGGCCACAGCCAGCTTTTTATGTGAATTCTGGAGATTTGAACTCAAGCCCTCATGCTTACACAGCAAGTGCTTTTATTTGCTGAGCCATCTCTCAATTCCTAGTACAACTACTTTAATAAACATCTTAGCAGTTTCTTAAAAAGCTAAAACATAGATATAGTTCATAATATAACAAATCTATGCCTAGCTATTCATCCAAGAAAAAAATGAATTGTCTATAAAAGTCCTTGTATGTCGGGTGGTGGTGGCGCATGCCTTTAATCCCAGCACTCAGGAGGCAGAGGCTGGCAGATCTCTGTGAGTTCGAGGCCGGGCTGGACCGACAGCCTCCAAAACAATACAGAGAAACCCTGTCTCGTAAAAAACCAAAAAAAAAAAAAAAAAAAACGGGCATTGGTGGCGCGCGCCTTTAATCCCAGCACTTGGGAGGCAGAGACAGGCGGATCTTTGTGAGTTCGAGACCAGCCTGGTCTACAAGAGCTAGTTCCAGGACAGCCTCCAAAGCCACAGAGAAACCCTGTCTCGAAAAACCAAAAAAAAAAAAAAAAAAAAAAAGTCCTTATATGTAAGTGTTCATTGTAGATTTATTTATATCCAAACCCCAAAACAAACAACAAGATGTCTCAGTGGGCAAAGGGACTTGCTGCCAAGTCTCAAGACTCCCAGAGGCAGGCTATCATCTGACTTCCACATGTACAGACATACAGTACAGACATTGTACAGACATGTACAATAAATATAATGATATCTTTAAACCTTTAAATATTTTATTTTAGTTTTTGTATGTGTTTTGCCTGTATATACAAAGAACTGAACTCCGGTCTTCTGCAACAGCAGCAAATGCTCTTAACAGCTAAACCATCTCTCCTTAATTTAAAACAAACAAACAAACAAACAAACAGCAACAAAACGGACTTCCATATTTCCCAGCTGCTGCCCTGTAAGCCTGGAAAACGATTGTCCCGGCAAGATATACCTATGGGTGGAATAGTGGCACAGAATTTCTAGAAGTAACCAATAACTTTCTGATTGGGTTTCAGGCAAGAGCCACAGGAGGAAATACATACCTGATACAGTAAATCTTATCAAGAACCAATGGTTGGGTAACTTATAGATTCTAGGGGTGAACCTACTACTATTATTTTGCTAAATTGATATTGTATCAAAATTCTCTCTGGGCTCATCAGAGAAGTTTCTTTGTGCAGTAGATGGCAGTTAAGGCAGAAACTCACAATTGGTCAAAGAACAGAGTAAAAAGTGTCTGTGGAGTACTCATCCAAAAATGGAACAACTATATTCCTTCTTGAAAGACCATCACAGAAGAGGGTATGAACAAATTGTAAGAGCCAGAGGTTTGAAGACACTGTGTTTTCAAACATGACTGCACTCACTGAATCACAGCAGCCGTGGTTGTTGTGATCAAGTCAAAGAACATTCTAGTGTAGAGGACGAAAGGTTTCAGGAGTCCCAACCCTAACCAAGGAACAATTGACCTTTGATGGCTTCTTAGGGAAGGAAAGTCAGTTTTTAAGGGTGTTGTCCCTGGTAAACTGACCATGCTCCTGGGATGGCCCCACACCCTTGAGTATATAAACAGCACAAATTGGACTCAGTATGTTATAAATTGAAAAAAAAAAGATGACGTAGAGCTGGGATGGAGTTAAAGTGGATCTGGAAGGACTTGGGAAAGTAGTCAGGGTAAATAGGATCAAAATATATTATGTGCATGTATGAAATTTTCAAAGAATGAATAAAAATGTTATATTAAAAAAAACAGGGATCCAAATCTAGAAACAGGAGAATGGTAAACATACTATGACATGCTTATGTTGTATAATAGTGAAAAACCTCGGCATCAAAGCGCCGGGCACTGAACCGAACCCTTTGCCCAAGAACCGGGGCCAGACCACTGGCTGCAAATGCAAGAGGTGATTTATTGAGTACACAGGCGCCTGTGGATGCTACTGCAACTCGGGTGCAGAGCATACCGGGCTTTCAGGGAGTACAATATTTATAGAGTTTCAATGGTTACATAAGTAACAGGCATTTCATTGGCTCATCTTGGGGGCAGGGGTAGTTCCCACGGACTAAGTTTCCTGGTATTACTTTATGAAAGACCCAGGCATACTTCAGCAATTATTATCCTGGTCTCATGACTACTATGGTGATCATAGACACAACTGGGGGCAAGGGTAGTTGCCAAGGACTAGGTGTCCTGGTATTGTCATATGAAAG